CTAAGGGCCCTGGAATGGGGAGTAGTGCACACCCAAGCCAGGTATAGGCCACTGCTGACCTAGTTAATTGTCTGGAAAGGGGAAGGCATGGTGGAGGAGAGATGCCTGCTGGGGGCTGGATTCCACCCCTGGCTCCTCTGGTACCACCTTGTGCTGGCTGCATTTGAGGAAACCTGGATCTGTCCATATACTGATCCAGGCAGCTGTGGTCAGCACAAGACACTGCACACAGGTTACCCACTCCAGCACCAGGCTTGCCCTCCCCAGTGTCCTTCTCCCATTCTTCCCTTTAGGGGCCTCTTCCCATCCTCATCCCAGCATTTCAGTCCTAAAGGACCCCATCCACAGCCCCAGTCTTTCAGCTGCTGCTTTGATCTATCCCCTATATCTCTTTGCCATTACTTTCAATGGCAAAAACTGCAGTTACTTTTGCACCAAAATCACACACCCTGTAAACATGAGACGCGCCTATTATAATTGTTATTTTTAGGGATGAAGGAGTCTGCCTGGGGTTCTCCAACACTTTAGCCTGGAAGTTTCAACTACTTCCTCTCCCAGAAGATTTCTTAACACTCCAAAACATGGATCACAGATAGTGGGAGGGAGGTATAGTGACATCAGTGTCTCATCTGTAAAAGGGGGTGAGGTGAGTGTCAGTCCCTTGGGGAAGTCGTGAGGATTGAAAGAGATATAGTGGATAGGCATAGCATTGGCTCCTGTATGTACTCTATAAATACAAGACATTTCCATTCCACTTTCTGCTGTTATTATTGGGGGTGAGGGATCTACCTGGCATCTCTCAAAACTCACCTTAAAGGTGCTGAGACCCTCCTCTGCTCCTGCTTTGGCCTAGAAAACGTATTTGGCTTTTTTTTTTTTTTTTTTGAGATGAAGTCTTGTTCTTTTGCCCAGGCTGGAGTGCAATGGCATGATCTCAGCTCACTGCAACCCCCGCCTCCTGTGTTCAAGGGATTTTCCAGCCTCAGCCTCTCAAGTAGCGGGGATCACAGGCGCGCACCACCACGGCCAGCTAATTTTTGTATTTTTGGTAGAGATGGGGTTTCACCATGTTGGCCAAGCTGATTTTGAACTCCTGACTTCAGGTGATCCACCCACCTTGGCCTCCCAAAGTGCTGGGATTACAGGCATGAGCCACTGTGCCCGGCCCAGGATTTGGCTCTTTTAAATTCCACTCCCTTCTCATTCACTGCACACTGCTGCCCAGTCCTAGGTGTCATCTGATTTTCTCCATTTGGGACGTTCCAGCTTCTTTCTTCACAGCAAGCAAATCAAATAACAGGAAGCTGGAGTGCTCGTTAAGAGTTCCAGACCAGGAGAGAGGCACTGATGGGGGACGAGTTGGGGCCTGAGGTCTGGAAAGCACACTCCTGGTTCCCCACAGAGCTGGCTCCCGCCATCCTCCAATCCTGGCTCTGCACTGCTCCCCACCCACCCCGCCAGGGACTGGTCCCCTCGGATCTGCCTCTGGCTCTCCTCTCAGGCCTCCTCTCCTTCTGGGTCCCCTTGGCCGGCCCTCCCTGAAGCTCCCTCTTCCTTCTGCCTCATAGACACAGTCTCCGCCCTGTACCTGTTTTCCTTATTGGCATGGGTGAGGTGCACGTGCCCAGGAGTCACGCTCCCAGGCCATTGCACAGGCTGTGTGCCTCGCCAGCCTTGCCCTCCCCAGTGCCTTTCTCCCATTCTCCAGGAAGTGGCCCAGTCCTGCCCGCTCCAAGGATTTCCTGCCCCAGGTCCCTGAGAGCCCTCCCTGAGCACTCATCTGGCCTTGTGCATTGCCTTTGGTGATGGCGCATTTTGGTGAAGTCTCTGATCTGCCCCCAATCCCAGCAGGAAGGCAGGGCCTAGACGTTTTGGAGGATGAACCTGAAGCGCAGGGGTGCAGCATGCCTTACCACACGACTGGCAAAGCCCGGTTAGAATCCTGGTCTTGGGCCCCCAAACTCACCAGATGCCTGTGTGCCCCGTGATGACAGGGACCTTCTGCACCCCCATTCTGGAGATTCGTTTTGTAACAAAACCATTTCCCCTTTCTCGTCTCTGAATTTTCCTCTCCCATGGCAGGTTTCTGCCTGTCCCAATTCTCTGCCTTACCCATTCCTCTCCTCTGCCCTTTGCTCAGACCTGGGAGAACACACCTAGACAGGGGACCCAGAATGGTCCCCTCAAGTTGCTCAAGCGCCGACCAATAGAACTTTCTGTGAGGATGTGTGTGTTCTCTGCCTCTACCGTCTAGCTCCATAGTCCCTAGCAGCAATGTCCACTGCACTTGAAACCAGGCTGGTGCAATAGACAAGCTAAAATTTAAATTGTATTTAATTTTAGTTAGTTTAAATATAATGAGTTGCATATGACTAGCAGTTACTGTATTGGACCCTCGGGTGTCCCGCCAGAAGCACAGACAAGGCCCCACAGATAAGGCCACTCACCCCATCCACCAGTGGGACAGCTCCCTTCCTCTGGCTCCAGCACCCTCCCCTATTGACCTCAGCCACCACTTCCAGTCACCCCTCTCTGACCTACTTTTGCCCCCATTCATTGTCCCCTCTGGCCCGAAGCAGCATCCTGCTTTGCCAGCCATAAGCACTCAAGGGGCATAGCTGCCTACTTCAAAACCCTTCAATGGCTCCCCATTACTCTTATTTACATTTAACTTTCTCTAAGGCCCCTCTTGACCTGGGCTGCCCATCTCTCTCTAACCACATCTCCTATTTCCTTACCCTCCCAGTCCTCCAGGGTTCTGGACTTCCTGAAGTTCTTCCAATTCCCTCTGACCTCCAGCCTCAAAAGCTGTTCCCTTTCCCCCTTAGAACAAGGCTTCACACTCACCCACTTTTTCTGACAACTCCTATTCATCTTTCAGCTCTTCATTTGAAAATCACTTCCCTAAGGAAGCCTGCCCTGACTGCCACCACCATCAGACAATGTTGCATGTAATCCAGTCCCCAGGCCCCTCTCATCTTTCACTATTGCAGCACTTATTTTATTTTTTGGCACATGACACGGTCACTGCCCACTTCCTACTTCATTCACTACTTCCCTGTAAGTTTAGAAGGGCAAAAGTGTCTCCCACAATACTTGACCCACAGCAGGCTCTCAGTAAACATTTTCTGAATGAATGAATGAGAATAGACCCCCCCAAAAAGGTGGCAGAATACAACGCAAAGAACATTGTATACAGGGACCAAGAAGCTAAGGTTCTAGTCCTGGACCTCACCATGTGACTCTGGGCCTCAATTTCCCCATCTGAAAAATGGGGTTCAGTTCAGAAGATCTCTGGGATAATTTTCATCTCTAGCAGTTGAAAAGATCACAGTCAGTAGGGTAAATGTGGAGCTGCAGCTTGGAGAGAAGGCGTGTGCATGTTTGATACAATAGTTAGTCCCAAGGCCCCGATAGTATGCAACTTAAGTCTGAAGCAGCGGAAGCAAGAAGCTGGGAAAGGCCGGGGCATGGCCAGGCCAGCAGGAAGGTCTGGGAAGGGGAGAGCATGAAGAGAGGGGCTGAGCTAAACCATGAGAATCAGATACTTATTCCTCAGCAGCCAGGAACCCCAAGATACCTGGAGGAGCTCTACTGCCCTGACACTCTCTTTACCACCCAGCCAGTCCCGGCTCACACTGCCTGAGCCTGATTGAGCCCTCCGTATTCCCTGGAGCCTGGCAGGGCGTGGGGATGAGCTGACAGCAGCAGTCATATGTGCACCACTAGCACCAGTAAGCTTGCCCTGTGACCGCCCTCTCTGCTCTGGCCCTGCAATCTCCCTCTCCTTGGACACCCTGGAGAACCACTCCGGCAGGTGCCAGCCTGGCAGAGGCAGCTGAGAGGAGCCTGGCTGTAGGGAATAGATGCATCTTGCCAAAATGCTCACAGCACCCCACCCGCCACAGTTAGGGCTGTGCTTCAGTGTTTCCTACACCAGCACTGTTTCACATGTTCAGAGGGGTTGGAGAGTTTGTCCCAGATGGAACAGCTTCCAAGTAGCAGAGTGGAGACAAAAACCCAGGGCTGCTGGGCTCTGCCACCATGATCTTTACTGCTGCACACTGCCTCCAGCTAAGTAAGAGATCCTCTCCCATCTCTTCCCCATGGAAACCTTCCATGGCCGGGACGTGCTCCAGGACCTCTTCCCAGACTGCTGCGGCCCCCACCTGCCTGTCCTCCTTTCCATCTAGGCCCTGGGTCTCCTGTGCTGCCCGGATTCCCACAGGTCAACAGCCCTCACCCTGTCAAGGCCCAGCCTTTCCTCTGGTGGCACAAAGAGGCTGCATGTCCCTCCTTCCTGGGGAGGGGACAGCCTTTTCCTGTGTTCCCAAGATTGCCATGGCTACCTAGAGTTTAATCTACTTGGATCAACAAAATTTGGGGAATGGGAGAAAGCATCCTTTCTCCAGGAAAATAAGAAACCTGGTTTAGGAACAAGAAGAAGGTGTGAACTAATTTGTCGCCAAGAAGAGCAGAGACAGGCAACCCACACTTGGACCCTGGCGGTCTGGGCCAGTGAGCAGGGACCAGGGCACCACCCCCTGCAAGAACTGTCGCCTCTCCCCGCCCACCTCAGGCCCTTGAGAGGTGGAAGGGGAGGGCCACGGGGGGCCCAGTAAGCCTGGGCCCGGCCGCCGGGCGCGCTTCCCGCTGCGTGGGCGCGGGGGCCGCTGTCACACCACCCGGGCCAGGTCCCGAAAGGGAGTAGCGGAGCTTGCCCGCCTCGCGCCTTCGCGCGCCCAGCCTTCCTCCACCTGCGCTGGCCCAGGGCGCTTCCAGAGCTGAACGCCGGGGGCGCCTGCCGGGGGCAGGAGTCGCGGGGTCATGCTCTTGCCCACCAGGTCCTCCGGATCCGTGGCAGGGCGGCGTCTGTCCTTGTCCCCCGCGAACCCGGGGCTCGCAGGAGCGAGCGCCCGCGGACACCGGCTGAGGAGTCTGGAGGCTGCGCGAGAGGGCGCCGCGGGGAGGGATAAAAGCCAGCAACAAAGAGCACAGACCTCGTCCAGCAGTTGGTTGACTCGTCCCAAAATAGCCGTCTCCATTTGCTGCTCCCCGCGCTCCGCTTCCAGGCGCAGCACCCGGGCCTGCAGCTCCGCCGTCCGAAAGTGGGCGAGCAGGCTGAGCGCCAGCGAGCAGAGGGCCAGCGCCAGCAGCCCGCAGGACCCCGGGCTCGGCAGTCGCGCTCCGCGCTCCGCCCGCGCCATCGCCAGAGCCACCGTCCCGGGCGCGCCCAGCTCCCCAGGGCCGCGGGCACCGGCGGCTGCCGCTTTAAGGGTGTGCTCCGCTACCATCCTCTCACGTCTTGAGAACCAATAAATAAATAAATAGAATAAATAAAGGCGAGAGCCGCTGCCAAAAGGCTTGATCCAAACTGCGGGGCAGGAGGAAAGGGCTTGTATCGCTGGAAAACGTCCCTTTCCGTTGCTCCCGGCAAAAAGGACGGAAAAATTAGCAGTAAGAGGGGAAGTGCCGAAAAAGCACAACCAACGGTAATTGGGGGCACACCTAGGTGAGGAAAAAAAAGTTATTTCAAAGAACGTTCCAAGTCCAGGAAAGTTAGGGGAATCTGACCGGCTCTCCTCTCCGCCCGGTCTTTCCCTTCCAGTGTCTGCAGAGCAGTTGGTGCCGCGCTGTCAGTCCTTCTGGGCGCCTCGTGTCCCCCGGGCCAGCCGGTTTCAGTCCCCGGGCGAAGGGGCGCACATGGAGGGCCCCATGGGCAGAGGTGGGTCGTGGCTGCTGGCGAGGAGCGCCGGGGCCGATTCCGGCGCCTCTGTAACTTGACACACTCGCTGCGGCTGCACGGATCGGATGAGCAATCCGTGCTACTTCCCAAACTAATCTCTCCCGCCCCCACCCTCCACCACCTCCCCCCACCTCCACCAACTCTTGCGGGGCGGACGGCTGGGATTTGTTTATTTATGCAAACTGGCCCGGGGTGGGGGGCGTGGTAAGCAGGTCCAGCGTCCCCAGCCCGCCCGCCGGGAGCCCCTCTCCCGCGCTCTCCGTCCTCTTTGAAGTGACACTTGGGGTTATTTATAGGCAGGAAGGGGGTGTAGAGTGGAGCTGGGGCTGCACTTCTCTCTCTTTTTTCGGATTCACACCGAAGGCTCGTTTGCTTCCACAGAGACGGTGGGGCAGGCACCACTCCACCTTTCCCAGCCCTTGAGACTCCTCAGGAACCTGACTGAGTTATTGTCAAGGCTTGTGGGTGGATCTCCAGGTCCCGATCAGGACTACCTGATCCCTTCCCCAATCCCCAACCTCTTACCCTTTCCTTCACCCCCACAACCGACTCATTGGGAGCTCTGTGCCTCTCGAGGTCTGCAGCCCTCCAGTACAGGCAGCCAACCACATCTCTACTCTGGGGTGAAAAGTCAGCCCTCCAGCGGGGAGCAGAACTGTCACCCCTTTTTCTCTTTCAGGATCAAGACCTAATGTAATATGAGAGACTGAAAATTGAGCAGAAGAGCTTATTCCAGGTATCTGAGAGGTGGCTCAGTGGGGCTGCCTGCCAGTCCTGACATCTCCCCTTCTTGTCTGTCGTTGATCTGAGACTCATGCCATCCATCCCTTTGTGGTGAGACCAGCCTGCCTCGATCATCCCGGTCATCAAAGGTAAGCAATTCTTACACAAACTCAGGCTCCATTCCTGCGTGAGGCTTAGCGCTAACCAGGCTCTCTCCTGCTGTCATTTCCTATTCTCCACTAGAGAAACACTGGTGGCCTGAAGGACATTTGGTAGTTTCCTCTCTTCTCTTGTCACCTTCCTCAACCCCCACATTAAGTAGCATTTGTATCCCAAGAGACTTTATCTCCTTGCGCCTGTTGACATTCCTGTGAAAGGGGTGGTGGGACTGAGTTTTTGGAGAAAGCCTGCCTTCCTGGAACAGCGGGCAGAGGGGAGAAGACTGGCCTTTCAAATATGTAGTGGAGGTGGGGCAGCAGTGGTGTTGGGATTCCATTTCAAAATAACAAGGCATGCCAGTACAAACTCCCCATTTTCTACATTGACCTGATGGAACTTGATATGTAATACGGTATCAGTGTGCTTCTAATAGAGTGTGGCACTTTTTTTTTTTTTTTTTTTTTTGAGACAGAGTCTCGCTGTGTCGCCCAGGCTGGAGTGCAGTAGTGTGATCTTGGTTCACTACACCCTCCACCTCCAGGGTTCCAGTGATTCTCCTGCCTCAGTCTCCCAAGTAGCTGGGATTACAGGTGCCTGCCACCATGCCCAACTAATTTTTGAATTTTTTTTAGTAGAGACAGGGTTTCACCATGTTGGTCAGGCTGGTCTTGGAACTCCTGACCTCGTGATCCACCTGCCTCAGCCTCCCAAAGTGCTGAGATTACAGGTATGAACCACTGCGCCCAGCTGAATATGACACATTTAATAGTGTGTATTGGACTTGTAACATAGTAAGTACTTAGATCATGCATAATAAAGGTAACGTTGACTGCCAAGCCACCATGGAGGACAACAGGAATAGAAGGCGATGCTACAGAAAGGGCTGGTGGCCAGGAGCTCTGGGTTCCAGTTCTAGCTCTAGGATTTCCCTGATGGCTTCAGTGGGCAAGGCATTCTGTTTTCTCCATCCCTGTAATGGGATGTCCCAGTCCACTCTACAGAGTAATCCTTGAGAGAACGCGATGGTATTGAAGAACACCAGGGGGCGCTGGAGAGTTTCTGCACTGGGAGGTACCGGCCAGGAAATTCACAGACTTCGGACTTCTCCCACTGGCCTCCCAGGCTAGTCTGAATGGAAGAACTGAGGTAGGAAGTTCGTTTCATTCCCCCTTATTCTGCAAGCTGATCTTTTCTCTTTCAGGGCTTTGGAGGCCCTCAGGAATGCTCAGGAAGCGAAACCTAAACAGTCTGGAGCTGGAGCATCCTTGGGAACTGGAGGAGGAGGGTGCCGGGCTAGCCTGAAGGGACCCCAGAATTGCAAACCCTGGAACTTCCAGGGGGACTCTGGAGTCAGGGAAACCAGGTACAAATCTCACTTTTGTCAATGTGGAAGTTACTGAACATTTCTGAGCCTCAGTTTTTTTCATTTATAAGATGGGCTGATAATAAAAGTACCTACCCACTGGGCGCAGTGGCTCATGTCTGTAATCCCAGCACTTTGGGATGGTGAGGTGGTTGGATCACCTGAGATCAGGAGTTCGAGACCAGCCTAGTTAACATGGTGCAACCCCGTTTCTGCTAAAAATACAAAAAATTAGCCGGACATGGTGGTAGGCACCTGTAATCCCAGCCACCCTGCAGGAGGAGGTTACAGTGAGCAGAGATTGCGCCATTGCACTCCAGCTTGGATAATAACAGCAAAACTCTGTCTCAAAAAAAGAAAAAAAAAGTACCTACCCATCTGGGAGGACTGATGAGGGAATGCATGTTAAGCACTGAACACAGTGCCTGGCACACAGCAGGCACTCAATAAAGGGCATCAGCTTCCTTCTTAGGAGCTCATGGCTGCTAGGGCTGCCTCAGACACAGCTAGCTCTGGCCTCCCAGCTGTGAAACAGGAGGAAGTTTCCATCTCAGAGAAGACAAATGGATCACAGTTAGCCTCCATTTTTCCCCAACTGATAGCTGAGGGTAGCAGCTTGTGAGCCTGCAGGCTGAGGGGCCCGATCTTCTCTTCTTCTTCCTGCACTGCTTGGAATTCTTACTCTGGGAGATTTTTCCTTCATGTAGGGCATTGTCTACCCCAAGCCAAAGTTACAGGCTCATGTGGCTTATCTTGAACCCTTCTTTCTTCATAGGTGGGGGCCAGAACCTGGGGACACTGAGGTGAAAAGAGTGCCTTCCAGGAGTTTAAAAACAGTTGATTAAGGAAGATAAGTCATATTCACATACAACCGCCACAAAAGGCAGAATAGTGAAAATCCACAAAACGTGTAAGACCACAAAAGGTGTTTCAGGGCTCCCAGAAGGGAGGTGAGGATTCAGATGCCTCGGGAAAAACACCCAGAAAATAGATTTTCTTGTTTGCAGCAAGAAGAGAGATGGCCGCCAATGCTAACCCAAAGACTTTAGTTTTGAACTGTGGTCTTGGCTACGCACCTAGATTAAAATGAAGAAAACATGTCCTGGGCATGCTACCTGTATGTTCTTCAAGTCTTTTCTGCGTTTTTCCACGTTTTGTTCCTGCTAGACCCTCTGCCAGGAAGGCCACCCTTCTCTCTCCTGAGAAAACCCTTTTAAGGTGTTTTCTACACCTTCAAATCCTGCCATTCACTCCCAGCCCATTCTTACTGAGCAAACTCCATTTCCCTTCCTCTCACTGTGGCTTTCACAGCATCAGACTCCTTCCTGAAACCAAAACCGCCACCGTGGCATCTCCGAGGCCCGCTGTGCCATCTCCCACTGTCTCTCCCGCTGGCTTTTCAGGCTTCTCCGAAGACTCCTCTTCTGCTCCCCCTGACAAAAATGAAGGTCAGCCCTCCTTGGGACTGCCTCAGGTCCTCTGTCCTCTGCTTGGCTGTTCTGCCCATGGCTCTTAACCTGGCTCTCCCATTTCTTTCCCATGGAAATCTTCCATGGCCAGGATCTGCCCAGGTCCCCTGTGGAGGCCATAAGAGAGCCAACACCTGTCATTTTTTTTGCCCTGAGCCTAGTCCTCCTTTTCCTAGTAACTGTAACTCACATGACTCAGTTTCCTTTGGGAAACCTTCTTCCTCCCAGGCCATATGACTCTGGTGGGGTTGACTCTATACCTGGCCTATGAATGGGAACTAACCTCACCAATTAGCCTCTCTCATCTCCCCTGGCTACTGTGACTAGGTCAGAGAGGGCATGTGACCCAGTTCAGGCCAGTGAGAGTCAGGCTGGAGTGATTGGGAGTGACAGCTATTTTCTCGGAAGGGGTTTCTAAAGGGATGAGCTGGAGCTGCTGCAGGTGTCTTGCCACTATTGATAAATGAGAATGAAATCAACACGGAGGCAAACAGAGGTGGAGAGCAACTGAGTCCTGAAGACATCCTCAAAATCCTTCAATCAAACTGTACCAAGAAGCCTGGTGACAGGAGTCCCTTCTGCTCAAGCCAGGTTTGAGGTGGGTTTCTTTTCTTACAAGTATAAGAGCCAAGTCACATATAGGGCCTCAAGCTACCTTTCTGAGTCGGAATCTCTTTGTGGTTGGTGGGAGGAGATGGCAGGGAAGTCCAGGTTCCTGTCTGCTTCTAAAAGTTTCCCAAGGGATTGGAAGGTCCATCCAAGGAAGAGAGTCCCTGGAGGGAGTGCGTGCCCTGGGGGAGCTTGCCCATCCTAGGCTCCAGTTTCTATCTCTCTGTGCATGACTCTCCCACTCAAACACACAGTTCACGTCCTGTGCACAGCTTGCTCATGGTGGCTCTTGGAGCGCCACTCCCCTCTACCTCACACTCAACTTCTCCACACCCCCCTGCCCTTTGTTTCCTCAGTACCACCCATGGCATCACCCTGTGCTCAGCCAGGATGTTTGCTTTCTGCCCTGCCCTCCCTTCCCTCACTCAGTTGAATTGGGACTGGTCCTGTAGATTCCACCTCCTTCCTTTTTTTCAGATCTGTTCCTCCTCTTTGACCTCTCTGCTTCTGCTTCCTGCCCCAGCCTAGGGTTTGTTGTTATTGTTGTTGTTGTTTTAAGACTGAGTCTCACTCTGTCACCCAGACTGTAGTGCAGTGGTGCAGTCTTGGCTCACTGTAGCCTTTGCCTCCTGAGTTCAAGTGATTCTCCTGCCTCAGCCTCCTAAGTAGCTGGGATTACAGACAAACATGACCAAGCCTTGCTAATTTTTGCATTTTTACTAGAGATGGGGTTTTAGCATGTTGGTCAGGCTGGTCTTGAACTCCCCATCTCAAGTGATCTGCCCGCCTGAGCTTCCCAAAGTGTTG